CAGAGACAGTGTGCATGAGTCAGAAAGTGGCAAGAGGCAGGCATGAGGTTGAGGACTATACAACTGTTTACCCTTCTTCTATGAAAGGAGGTGGCAAAGGAGAGCAACAAAAGTGGCATGACCCAGACAAATATCACATTTATTTCACAAACACTGGGAAGATGGGTTGGGGGTAGAGATGGGACTCAGGTGCATAGCTGCACAGTCGTCAGCAGCTTACTGCCCACACTGAGGATCCAGCCAGGCAGTACCTCCAGGTTGACAGGCAGCGAGAAGTGAGTGCAGGAAGGGCCCTGAACACCAAGCCCCCTGAAAAGCTAAGGGGCACAGCTCCAGCTGTCCCGAGAAAATCACAAATAAATAAGAGTGGGGCACAGCTCCACTCGCACAGATCATCTAGTCACCCATCTTCACGCCAGAGGTCTGCAAAAGAAGAACAGGAGAAATCAGGTAGGGACAAAAGAATATATAAGACAATGACAAATGACAGAAGATCAGACCTAACTCTTAATGGGATGGACAGGTGACAATAGATGGATGGCTGGATCAGGATGGATATGCTATGACAGACAAACACAGATAAACAGGGACAGACAACCACAGGCTGTGGGACAGAAAGATGGAGAGAAGTGGCATATAGACAGTGCCAGTCACCAGGAGTCAACCCAGTCAGGCATCCACAGTCACCCTCAGACTCTCAGGCTGATCCTTAGCCACAAACTCAGTGTCAGACAGACAAGACACGATTCAGACATGCTGTGCTACTGACAGCACAGATATACACACAGGCCCTGAGAAAGTCGAACACACCAAGACAGACTGATACAGACACAGACAAGATCCCAATCCAGAGACTAAATGAAACATATAGAGACAAAAAGCAACAGAAAAAAACAAGGACAGTTCTTAGTGTTTCTGGATTGGAAACTAAATTGAAAGCTTCAAAAAAGGAAAACCAAAAGATAGGAATGAGGTGATGGAAGCTATTCATGGTTACAGGTGAAGGGAATACTGCAGCTCCTCTGGAAGGAAGATGAGGCTGGATTATAGACAATGACAAAGGTTCCCCCAGGAGGATTCAGCACCTGCAGGATTGCAACTATGACCCCAAAGAGGCCAATGGCGCTGCCAAAGATCTCCACGATGAGAATCTTCACAAAGAGGCTGGGGTTCTGTGCGTCGGCCAAGGCGGCTCCACTGCCCACGATGCCCACGCAGACTCCACAGAAAAGGTTGGAAAGGCCCACTGTGAGGCCAGCCCCAAACATGGAGTAGCCTAGGGGGATAGAAAGGGAGCACTGAGGCCAAGCCAGACACAAGGGGAGATGAGGACAAGGGCCCAAAATGTACTAATGGAGCCAATCACCACCCCAATTTTGCAAAGCAAGTGACAGAATATCAAAATGAGGATTCTAAGCTGGGAGCTGTAGGGGAGAAGCAGGTGTGAAGCCTCAGCTTTCTGCCTTCACACACACCACCTACCTGCATGATAGTTTCGATGGCCAATGGCTTGGGGGTCAGTGGCACTAAAAGGCTAAGGAAGGCACAGAAATATCAGAAACCAACCCCTACGTCCCCCCCAACCCCCCGCGCCGCAATTGTGAAGCAATGTATAGAACACACTGGAATGTTCTATACACACTGGATGCCCTCCCCACCCTGGTCCTCCATACCTCAGCCATGTTGCTAATAACAATTGCCATGATGATGCCGTAGATAGCCACAGCCTCACAGAAGATGATGCTGGTGGTGGTAGTGGTGGGCAAGGGGAATGGAGAGGAGAAAGAGATGAGGTTGAAACCAATCTTCCTCCTAAGAGAGTCCCCAGCCACCTTTTCCCCATTAGCATCCCACCTCTTTGGGAGGCTGGTCAGGAGGAACGTGTTAGGTCAAACGCACAGGCAGGTCACAATGCAGCTAGTTTTGGCAATCTTCCAAGAACCCTAACTTACCTGACCAAGTTCTTGGTCTTGATCCTAGGGGCCTTCACCCCTCCCCCAATGATGGATGAGCCAGTAATATAGATGCCCCTGGTGGAAGGATAAGAAACCAATAAGCAGAACCCAAGCTTGTCACTGCCCCCAGGGTGATTAAGGACCTGCTATGACTCAGGCCCTTCCCCTGGTCGCACCACCCCAACACTCACCATGCTGCCCCAACCACAGACAGGGAGATAGCTAGGCCAATGCCCAGGTTTGACCACATAAAGGGGGAAGTCTCGGTCAGGAACCTGGTGTGGAGACAGGGAGGAAAACAAGTCAGCCCTGGTGGAGAAGTGGGCACAAAACCCACCCCACTTCACCCCACCCCCTGCCCCCAACCTCCAACCCCACCTGGATGCTAAGACAAAATACTGCCTATTCCCAAAAGTGCAAATCCCGTGCAGCTGGGGATTGGGTGGATGAGGGAGCTCAGGTCAGAGAAGGAAGGCTGCAGAGGAGCAGCCCCTAGAGGAACCCTTGCCCTACCCTCCCTTACCATGCCACATCAAAGCGGAAGCCCAAGTCAAAAATGGTGTAGCAAATTCCTGCAGTAGTGAGGAAAAAGGGGTCAGAGGCTGCTCTCTAGAGAGAAGCTCCCCAACTTAGACAAGAAGTTGCTGCCACCTACCCAAAGGTCTGCCCCCACCTAAGTCAACAGAGAATCCTCAAGCTGCCCGCGCCCCCTCCCTCGCCCAGCGCGCGTGAAAGCATAGCTGTCTATAGATTCCTCTGCTCAGGCTTCCATTTTCTGCCACTCCCTCAGTAACATCTCCCTCAGTGACACCACCTCCCAGACCAAGATCCTTCGTGGGCAGCCGCCTGCAGGCCTGAACGCCTTGGAGGAAGGGAGAGAGCAAGAGCTCGGGCCAGGCCCCACCGGATCCTGCCCGCCCTGTCCGACTCGCTATTTACTCAACAAGCTGGGGGGATGGGAGGCAGGAGAGGGCTAAACGACCAGGAAAAGAGGAACTGAAGCACCCGGCCTGTGACCCAAGCAGGCCAGTCAGGAGCAAGAGAGAGACGACAGCTGTGAGACAGGGGAGGGGGGCGCGGCACGAGAGCGATTAAGGCTGTTTTCGCGGCCTCAACCCACCCCCCGCCCGCGCCCCTCCTCGAGCGGCTGGAGGTCAGAGGTCTCCTCTGTTGGGGTCAGAGGCCCCCACAGGCGTGAGGCAAGTCCCGAAGCCCGGGGTACGAGCCCGTGTTGGGGCCGGGGATTCCTGAGACCCCACGTCCCCCGCTGGGCTCCAGCTCAGTCCGGATCCTGAACCCGCCCGCCAGGGCCCGGCCTCACCCACGACGATCATGCAGGCCCAAAAGGCCACAAAGATCCCGGAGTAGAGGAGCGCTAGCCCCGTCATGGCGGCGACGACAGCGGGGCGCGGGTCGGTGGGTCCAGAGCTAAAACCACGTCCCTGCGTCCACCGTCCGCCCCGCACTGTCACCTGACTCGCCCACGTGGTACGCTAGCACCACGTGACCCTATGCCGGGCCCTGAGCTACGTCGCTGCTGGTCTAGAACTTGACGACGCTCGAACTGTAGGCGCTGAGGATTGTGGTGGTTGTAGTCTCGCGCTTCGGAAGAGGCTCCGGCTCCCTTCTAAGTACCTCGCGTTTGACGTAACCCGCTCCTTCTTAGCTCCGACACTCCGTCCTTAGCCCCGACACCAGCCTTGCTTTACAGCCGAGCTTAGCCTCCAAGCCAGTGCTGCTTCCACGGGCCTCCGCCCTTGCCTTCCTACCCAGTTCCACGAAGACGTGCTCTCTTCCTCACTTCGCTCAAGCTGTATCCTCTACCTGAAACGCGCTTCGTAGTACTCATCATATCGGCCGACTAACAACTGCTGGCCCTCATAAATCATTCTTCCAGAAAGACTTCCCTAACCCAGAGACAGGGTGGCACACCGGCTTTGGGCTCCCGCTCTGCCCTGGTGATCTTTATGAAACTTCAGCAAGATCGTGTCACTCTCGTTTAAAATGCCTTGTGGCTCCCATTTCACTCTAAATGTCATAGTCCTTTTAATGGCCTACTAGGCTTGTACCAGTGTTGCTCCAGCCTTCACCTGCGAATACCCCGCTAACTCTCCTCTGGTTTCACTGGCCCCATTGTTTCTTGAACATACCAGCCATACTTTCACCACACTGGCCTTGCACTTGTTCCCTCTGTTTCTCCTAATTATCCATGAGGTTCACTTTGCAACTTCCTTTTAGTCTTTGTTCACCTTCTCCAAAAGGCCGTCTCCAACCATCTTGTTTAATATTGCAACCCCCCTCTCCCTTATACTCCCTTTCCAGCTTTATATTTCTCCGTAGCACTTATCACCATATGGCATACTGAGTGTTTTGGTTGTCTATCTCTCCCCACCCATGAGAATGTAAGTACCACGAAAGGATTTCTGTTGAACTCACTGCTGTATTTCCAGTGCCTCGCACACAGTGGGTGCTCAATATTTATTTGCAGAATACATGTTTGGTGCCCACCTTGTCCCGGTTACCATGGTTAGTTTACAGATCTGCCTCTACCAGCAGACTCCCTAAGAGCACTCCCTAAGAGCAGGGACCACTTCTCTCTTGTTCAGCTGCTTCTTCAACACCTTGGACAATGCCAATTTGCCAAAATTCTCAGCAAATGTGAGGAATGAAGAAGTGAGTTGTTTTACTTCACCCCTCTCAACCTTTATGGTCCAGCAACTCCACTCTGCTTGAAGCACACACCATGCTGGTTCACATCCATGTGTTTAAGCACAGTGTATCCTTTGCCCAAATGTCCTTTTCACCTGATTTTTTTTTCTCCAAAAGATTCAGTTTAGGTATAATTCCTTCTGGGAAGCCTTTTTTGGGCTCCAGCTGCTCCTGGGAGCTTTGCCCTCACAGAGAGTACTGTTTCACCATGTAGTAATTGCCTATTTAACTGCCTCGCTTTCCAGTTACACTGTAAGGACAGGAATCCAGTGAAATACAATTGAGATCTCCACCCACACCTGTGCAGGACCTGCAGTGTTTGATGAATAAAAAATGAAAGGAGAAAAAGTATCTGGTTTATTCAAGTTTCTGTGATCTCCCTGAGAAACAAATCAGAGTCAGTGTAGACCAGCACCGTCCAACAGAACTTTCTTTAATGATGGAAACAGCTGTACTGTCCTCTCATGTGGCTATCTGGGCACTGAAACATGACTACTGTGACTGGGAAACCGAGTTTTTAATTTTAGTTAAGTTTATGTTTAAATAGCCACATGTGTCTAGTGGCTGCTGCACTGGACAGCACAAATGTAGACCAGTGGTTCTCAACTGGGGGCAATATTGCCCCCCTACAGGGGACACTTGTCAATGTCTGGAGACATTTTTGGTTATTACAATTGGAAAAAGGTATGCTGCAGGGATCTAGTGGGCAGAAACCAGGGACGATGCTAAACATCCTACAATGCACAGAACAGCCTCTCACGACAAAGAATTATCAGGCCCAAAATGTCAACAGTGCCAACGCTGAGAAACTCTGGTCTAGACCATCTATAACCTGCCTTGGACAAAGGCAGACCCTCAATCGCACATCAGGAACTGGGATTGGCCAGAGGTCCTGAGCTGCTCCCAGGACAGATGGGCCTAGAAGGCTTCAGAAAAGCCCCAAACCAGTCCCCATCAGTCATATAACAGGCATTTTACTAAGCCAATATGTGCTAAGCCTTGTGCTAGTGCCAAGACAAGACAGAGCTGGATCCTATCCACAATGAGGGGCTGTCTGCCCTCCCTCCATCCAGGCTCCATCAAGGATCCTGGCAGAGGGGTGAGGTTGGTGCAGAGAACACTAAAGCTCTTAGCAGTGATTCTTAAATCCATTTGTGTCTCTGGCCCCAAATGGTATCAGTTGCTTCCCTCATCTTCGTAGGCAATGGCAATCCCTCGTCTTCCACTCACGGCTCCTGTCACTGGTGTCTGACCTAGGCAGGGCTGCAGCCCTTGCCAGCTCCGGGAACTAAGGAACGAGGCTGCAAAGAGAGAGAAATGAAGCTGAGTGGGCTGAATCTAAGGGAAGGGTTCAGATGAGAGTGGAGACTTGGCACACTTACCTGCAGGGCTACTCTCAGTCAGCTCTAGCTGGGGCCGCTGGGTCAGGGCTGAGCATCCAGGATCATTTGATGACTTCCAGGTCGGTGGGGGTCGGAGCTCCCCAGTAATGAGTGACACATCTGGGGTGTCCCACAGTTCCGATTCAGGTGGAGGGAGGGACACGTGGAAGGGAGAGCCTAGGAGGGAGAAACATGATCCATACTGGCTCCCTGATTCAATGCCCCAAGTGTTTCCAGCTCAGGCAGTTCCCCACAACTCACCAGGCAGTAAGTCCTCATAGTGTGTGAGGTGGGGAGCCAGGCCTGGAGGTGGCCAGGCAGGGTTGCAGGCAGCCTCTAGCTCACATGGTGTCAGTACAGGTCGGAAGAAGCTACCAGAAGGCTGGGGGGATAGGGCACCAAGAGGACAGGCCAACAGCACAAAGACATCCATCTCAGGAAAGTTGGCAAGCTTGGGAGGTGTGGGACGCCCCAGAGCCAACACATAGCTACGCTTGCCGGCAGCCTGAGTCAGTTTCCGCAAGTGTGCTAGTGCCTCACGGTGTCGGGCCACACCTAATGTGCCTGCCAGCAGCCCCACTACTCGGGCATCTCTAGCCCTCTCAACCAGGTAGCGTCTACATGCCCTTAGCCTCCCAGCCCGAGCACCTTCATCCTGGGTCCGCCCTGTGTCTGGGCAGCAGGAGGAGAAGGGCTGGCCTGGTGCCCAGCCCAAGAGCAGCCGGCTCAGGTCAGGGTCAGGGCTGCCCTCAGAGCCCCCCACATAGAAGGCACCATACTCTTCTAGACGCCTCCCTGGGGCTAGGGGAAAGCGACGCCCAAAACGCTCCAGGGGTTCAGGCTCTGGATTGAGAGAGCCCACTGGCAGGGGAAGAGCTGGACTGGAGACAAGCAGGTCCAGGTACCGTGGGCGCAGGAGAGTGGCCAAGGCCTCTGGAAGAAGGAAGTGGTGTCAGGGTTGGGGCCTGACAAAGCAAGAGACCCCTCATTACCCAGAAAACTGAATGTGACCCAAAAGCAAAGGCAGGGGTCAAGCCCACATCAAGAACTCTACAGGGTCAATGGTCATACTACTCTGAACAAGCCTGATCCCATCTGATCTCGGAAGCTAAGCAGGGTTGGGCCTGGTTAGTACTTGGATGGGAGACCACCTAGGAAGACCAGGTGCTGCAGGTGTAAAAAAAAAAAAAAAAAAAAACTCTATGGGAGTGTACTGAAATGGGGAAATTAAGACACAGAGTAGATGACCCACCCTTCCTGCATGCACAAGCAAAATCCCTCACCCAGGGCATGGGCACAGGCCGGTTCACTCAGTAGCACCACGGGAGCTGTGGGGTCTGGGTTCTGGGCCTCAAAGGCTCTGGCACAGAGCTCCAAGGCTACAGAACGCTGACCAAGGACGAAGGCCACAGGCAGTGGGCGGGCTGGAGGACTTAAGCAGGCAGGGCCAAAATGTACGAGGGCCTGAGCTCCAGCTTGCTCAGCACCCAGGACATCCACACAGCAGCTGCAGGGGAAATACCATTAGTGAGTGG